TCTCTTATACACATCTAGATGTGTATAAGAGACAGGTATGAACCAAGCCGAAGTGCCCGGATCATTCCACCCTCTGCCCCCCCTTCCAAAAAAAAAAAAAAAAAAAAAAAAAGTGGAGTGAGACCCTTTTCAGTTGTTTCAAAAATAATAATAATAATAATAATAAAAGGAGTGAGGCCCCTTTTTTTTTTTTTTTTTTTTTGGCCCATGAATTTGGAGAGTTCCACGTAGGTCCATTTCGCGCCTGGCTGCACTACTCACCAAACATGATTTTGGGTGCGGTCGGCATCCCCTCACTAGCTCCACTGAGGGCCTGGGAGATGTCCCACTTGCAAGGAGGATTCGATTAACCGCCTGAATCTGGACATGTTTTACGCAGAGATGCAGAACAGCTGATCTATGGTGAGTTTGTGCACCTTTCTGCAAAACTGTCCAGAGAAGTGGGGGAAAAAAGTGTCAGAAATTCTGGGTATGAGAGTTGAAGAGTCCTCACCGCACTGCTCACCAAACTCAAATTTAAAATGGTTGGTGAGTTCTCACCAACGCGGCGAACCCTTGGCAAAAACCATCTCACCAAAGCTCTCTTCGCATGGCCTATAGGAGGCCACCTGGTTGTGAGGGGTGCAGGGCCCGATTCCCGGTTTTGGTAATAGCCTTGGGCACTGGGCCCTTTGCTTTGGGGAAGGGAAAAAAACAAACATCAAATTCTGGGTGCATGGACTTCTTTTTTACTTTTTTTTTTTGTCTGGTTGCATGGACTTATATCCTGACTTATATAGGGACAGGGATTATTGGCAGCATCCGGCAGAGGTCGATGGAGGAATGTGTCTGGCTTACACCTTTGGGAATAGGTTGATAGGTGTTTTTGTTTTGTTTTGCCTTGTTCAATTCGTTTTGTCTAAGGTAGGTTTGGTTCGCTTTTTGAGGCCAGTGGGCCCTTGGTGGGTGTGTTTTCTGTCGGGCCAGTGGCCTGGGTTTTGCCTCTTGCCAGTTTTTTACGCTTCGTTTGAGTCTTGTTGTGTTTGACCGCTACCGAGCCGGACATCATTGGCGTGTTTGCCTGGTCTGTCTCCGACAGACGAATGGGCAGGTTCCTATTAAAAACAATCATTGACGCGGTGTTCGGTCTTTCCGGGTCCAACGCGAGGGACACTCACCGCATTTCCGGAGATGCGTGTAATGCACCCCGCAGAGGTGGGGAGTGTGGAAAGTTGGAAAAGTGTAGGGAGAAGTAGGAGGTTCCCCCCTGAAGAAGTCAGCGTGGCGGCTGTCGAAACCGGTCGGGGTGCCATACCCACCGGCTTGTGTTTCGTGATTGTTGTCGAATAATGACATTCACCTCGTGCGTGTATGCCTTGTGCAGGCACGCACTTGGTTGTGTTATACGAGTGACTATGTGAGTGTTTGACTTGTGATTGTCATACTTCCACTTTCCATTCCATGTTATCTTCAAATCTCTGAAGGCCCGTGTGAACCAGTCGGGAAGTTCCCTGGCGAGTGCGAGCACGTAGTGAATCTGTGATACTGGTGACTTGTGAGGAGTGCTTATGTGCGAGGTATAGCTGCTGTGATTGTTTATCAGAGTGTGACGTTGGTAGTACTAGTTTGTGGATGTTGATCCCATAGGTGATGGATATCGAAGCCGGCTTGTGGTGAAGATGTCTGGCGAGGGTTCCCGGGATTTTCGATGCGACTATGATCTTGATCGCGAACGTGAAGTCTAATGGGAGCACTACCACAAAAGTAGACGCGTCGGCAGTAACGGCGGTTGTGAGCATGGTATGGAGGATCGACGGGACCGACATGGAGAATTTCGCCAGGAGCATTACCGTGATACGCCACGGTGTTTTGTTCCTATTTGCTACGAGTGTGGTGAACCCGGGCACTATAAGAATCTGTGTCCGAGGTTAGTAGGCAAAAGCAACATGAGGTTTTCTTCTTCTTCTTATCGAGGATGATCAATCTCGCCGGTGAACCCGGCGCGCACGCGAACAACGATCGACATCCAAGGAACCGGCTCTACGAAAGCAACTCGATGACCTCACTAGCTCTCTAGCTAGCATGAAGAACTACATCGATATTGAGCATGCGCGCAAGGAAAAAAAGGAGAAAGAGAAGAAAGAGAGGGAGAAACTCAAACAAGAAGAGCGAGAGCGCGAGCAGAGGGAAGAAGAGGTACGCTTAGCACGAGAGAAGCGGGATGAGAAGCGTCGGATTAAAAAAGAGAAAGAAAAGCAAAAGGAGGTCGAGTTTCGGGAAACGATGCGGAAGGAGTTGAGGATGGAGGTCCGCCGACATGTTGGTGGTGTGTGCGAAGAGCTTCACCATCGTTTACTCAATATTTTACCAACAAGTAAGACGAGTAAAGGAAAGAAGAAAGTTCTGGTGTATCACTCGACTAGTGATGAGGAGAGAAACTCGGACAATAGCGATGTTGAAGCACTCAGTGAGCAAGCCGAAGGGCTTGCGATTAGCGAGAAAAGGAAGCGTAGCGCTGAACTTGTCATTGGTAATAGCCCTCCGATGGAGACTTCCGCTAAACGTCGTACTAAGCGGGGGAAGTTGGATCCGAAGCGCCTTGTCCTCAGTTGCCGCCATCCATCAATGAAGAAACCACCAATCAAGAAGACACCGGTGGGAAGTCATATGAAGAAAAGGAAGATACCGGCAACTGTTGGCGATCCCGGAAAGCTGCGCTTCGTCATCGATAACCTGCGAAAATTAGGAGGTATGAATGTTGACGAACTCAAACAGATGTGCAGGGAGGAAGATGTGCAGTTCGAGGGTAAAAAGCAGATGGATACCATCCTGGCGATTATTGAGAAGCGAACTCAAGTCGCCTATGCTACGAACGAGGAGGAGGAGGAGACTATTGGTGACATTAATAAAGTAGCGGAGGAACTCATCAAGGGGGGGCAATCAGGCCCCTGGTGTTTCCAAAATGGATAATTCGGAGGATTCTGACAAGTGAAGTGTTAGAAACTATTGGAGATTGAGCAAAGCATTGGTGGTTGTTCGGCGGGAGATACCAGTCGATGCAAAAATTGAAAGACTGTACAGATTGGTTATCATTCTTTTGGCCCTTTATGATCAGATCAGATGGTTGCACAAGTGTGTTGCATAATGGATTGGTCTGTATAGGCGTTTTGGTGCTAAGATCTTCAATGGTGATGAAGGGGGGGTGTATGTACTGACCTCGTCTACGTGTAAGGCGCAGTATGTTGGACAGACAAGGCGAATGGGTAATATATGTTGGAACGAGCACCTATACGGATGTGGGCGAAGGACTAAGCAAATGCATCTATATAGGTGGTGACAAGTTTTTGGCTCAGAGTCATATGTACTGCTGCCTATTGATGTATGCTCTGCGTCGGAACTGTCGATATTAGAACAAATTTATATCTACAGTTGGTCTCCGGTGTTGAATACAACGGGTAAACAGGTGAACGGATGCAAGAGAAAAAAATTCAGATAAGGGAGGCGAGAACGTGCGAAGGATGATAAAAAGAAGTGCGCGCAGGCTGCGGAGACAACGGTTCAACCGGTCAAAGTAAAACTGCATGAAGATGACCACTGGAGTCAGGACGTCTACCAACTGCTTGAGGATCAAGTTGCTGCTAATTGCCACAACTTCCCAGTTACTGTGGAGCAGGGCAATGGATGGTGTGGGGGATGGAAGGCTATAAAGTCGGCTTTTGGTAACTCCACCTTATCCATTGGCGGTCAACGTAAAAAAATACGTGAAAGAAAAGGCCTCTTGGAGGAAGGGGGGAGATTCAAAGTGGTTCATTTCGTTACATGGAAGCCGAAAGCGGGTCTGGATAGGCGATTCTTGCGTTCTTTGTTTCGTAACCCACTCCGCATGGAGTGTTTGAAGAAGTGTAACTTGGAAGTACTGATTAGACTAACCAAGGCGGCGGTGGATTTCCGTAAGACCTCTTCTGCGGCTTTTTTACGACGTACGATAGTAAGAGCAATTAAGGAAAAATATAGTTGGGGCATGAATGCCAAGTTGGTGGTAACGTTAAAGTTTGATGATCACATCAGGTTAGTGGAGGTGCGGAAATTAGTCAACGACAAAATTGAGGAATTGGACATTCCAGTTTGGCTGAAGGACGTGACACGTGGGATGATTCGGATTGTATGGGTTAAAAACCCGTTTGTTTCCTAGTTGTTTCACAATCAGCGACATTTTGCGAAGGCTGATTTGCTGACCTGCACTTGTGCAGGCATGCCCTACCCTCGGGTGGGAGGTCATGTTCGCTTCCGACTGTAGGAACTAGAAGGGGTCCATCCCTTGGTCTGTAATGCTACATTGCTAATAACATACCTAAGTTGGATATTTTGGATCGAAAGAGTTTGTTGGCGCAAAAAATTTCAACCGGATTCGCCACGTGGACCAACAACAACAGAAAAATTCCCACGAGAAATGAAAGTTGAAAAAACATTCCATAAAAAAAAAATCCTTCATATTATAAATTATCATTCCAATGATCGTCCAATTCTAAAATTTACAGTTTTATTTGATAAGTTCCCGTCTAAATATTAGCTTCCCCTTCCAACTACATCTATTTATTCAAGATGGAATGAAAGTCTGGACGAGTTTGTGAAATGTTTTAATTAAATTTTAATTCTACTACAACAAATATCTTATAATTTAAATTGAATTAACCTATTTATGACTGAAAATACTTACTTAAAATGACAGTCCAATTAAAATATTTCATGAACTCATCCAGACTTTCATTCCATCTCTAGCATGCAGTCCAAATAAGAAGGGATACCCTATTCTTGGCATGAAAGTTTGCAAGTAAGATGAAAAAATTTAAAATTGGAATGACATTTTTTAAGATGGAATAAAAATTTAAAATTTAGATTGTAATTTTACTATAGATTCGTATAGAATGATTATTTAATTCTAGGAAATTTTTCCGTTGAGTGGTAAAGAGGGTATTATTGTTCGAAGAGAAGAGGTAATGCGATGTATGTTAAAAACAGTGAGGAAAGGATAAATATATTTGGATACGAAGGAGGTGGAAGTTTTGAAAGTGAAGTTGGATGGGCTGGTACTAACTCCATTGGACCGGAATCCAGGTGAAACCTTAGTGATGTGCCCCAAGCTGTACTTTGATGCTATGATGAAGATGTTTGTTTTGTCTACGGGTTACACTATCATTGATGATAGTGAGAAGGTTGTCCACATGAAGATGAAATCCGATGCAAAAGCATTGTGCTTACAACAGTTCGTCGGGTGGGACTCGAAAGGTAAGGTGGGTGAGACTTATATAATGCCTAAACACAAGGATTTTTCTCGCTTTAGACCAATTTGCCCCACATATTCTGAACCGGCAGTTCAGACATGTCGAGTAGTGGCAAAGACACTTAACCACCTACTACTGACGATGCATGGAGAGTGACATTTTAATTTTGGTCGGTATCTGAGTTAGTGCCTAGACTGGAGCGGGGAAACAAGACTTTTCGACACACGACGCGTGGCAACTCTGAACTTGTCTTTATGTTATATGACATTAAATACATGTTCAGTAAATTGCTGCATGCTGAGATTGTGAAGGCGGTTGATTGGGTGGTGGATCACCACCGAGGAAAAGGAAGAGAGTGGATCCGAGTTAACACGAGAGGCAAAGGGTGTACGTTAGGTGCAACTACGGGTGACGATCCTTGGCGACGCCTGGAGTTGGAGCAAATACGGGCTTTTGTGAAGTGGGAGATTGGAGCACACCTACACCAGAGCTACAAGTGTCCTCTTACGCCAAGTGGTAGTGATTCCGATGGGTTAAGGGACAAACCCACCACTTGCCTCCATGCTTTGTACGTGTGCAAAATATTGATTTGCAAAGCTTGGGAGGTTGGTGACGTTTTGTGTTTGGTGTATGATTGATGAATGATGTTAGTTTGGTGATCTTGAGAGGAAGGAAGCAGATTCCAGTTGAGCAAATTCAGAGAATGTTCGAATGTCGTTACCCGGCTAACTTGACCTTGAAAAGGACGGATGAAGGGGATGGTACATGAAATTTCTTGGGTACCAACATGAGCATGGACGAGTTTTATCCCTACATTCGTTGCGTCTAATCATCGAAGAACGAGTTATCATCATGGGAATAAGGTTGTTTGGAGTATACCACTCACGGGAAGTAAAGAGCAAAAGAGCGTTGTGGTGGCAAGCTTTTGCATCGGATTAAGCGTAACACAAACGTGCAATCGGCAATACCCATGAGCGTGTCGAGTTTGCAGCGAGAACTACATATTAAAAGTTTTTCGTCTTCTGTTTTGAGGCGGGTGTTGAAACGTTTTGCCAAAGGAAAGGATCAAATTTGGACTTGGACCTATGATTGGCTTTTCGGGGATGATATGGGGTAAGACTACCTTTATAGGAAAAGTAATGTGGGCTATCTGTCCTTTAGGCAATAGGTAGCCTGAATGGTAAAAGTGAAAATTTCCCAGTTATCACAGATATAGGGACAGGGATTATTGGCAGCATTTGACAAAGGTCGATGGAGGAATGTGTCTGGCTTACTCCTTTGGGAATAGATTGATAGGTGTTTTTGTTTTGTTTTGTTTGTTTTACCTTGTTCGATTCGTTTTGTCTAAGGTAGGTTGGGTTCGTTTTTTTTAGGCTAGTGCGCCCTTGGTGGGTGCGTTTTCTGTTTTGGGTCAGTGACCTGGGTTTTGCCTCTTGCCAGTTTTTACGCTTCTTTTGAGTCTTGTTGTGTTTGACCGCAACTAAGCCGGACATCATTGGAGTGTTTGCCTGGTCTGTCTCCGACAAAGGAACGAGCAGGTTCCTATTAAAAACAATCATTGAAGCGGTGTTCGGCCTTTCCGGGTCCAACGCAAGGGACACTCACCGCATTTCCGGAGATGCGTGTAATGCACCCCGCGGAGGTGGGGAGTGTGGAAAGTTGGAAAAGTAGGAGGTTCCAATTGAAGAAGACTCCTATGTTTGAGTGTGATGATGCTTGTGGTCATTTTGGAACCCTCAAATCCTATGCGGCCCTGTCGCAGTGTGATGATGCTTGTGGTCATTTCAGTGGATGTCACAGTGTAATGATGCTTGTAAAGAGTGTTCCGGGTCCACTCACCGCATAAAGAGTGTTCTGTAGGGAGAAGTAGGAGGTTCCCATTGAAGAAGACAGCGTGGTGGCTGTTGAAACCGGTCGGGGTGCCATACCCACCGGCTTGTGTTTCGTGATTGTCTTCGAATAATGGCATTCACCTTGTGCAGGCACGCACTCGGTTGTGGTATACGAGTGACTGTGTGAGTGTTTGACTTGTGATTGCCATACTTCAACTTTCCATTCCATGTTATTTTCAAATCAAATATATCCTGACTAGTGCGCGTGTTTGGTGAGTCCTCACCTCACCAAGCGAATTCCTCACGAATTCCAACACATTCCTGACAAAATAGGATTTTTTTTTTGGTGGGGGGTGGGGTTGTCTCTTATACACATCTAGATGTGTATAAGAGACAGATCTCCTACAGTCTGCAGTTCAGAT